CACTTGACCTATATTGCCATTAAAACTGATTTGTTTATTCTTTATATTGTTGATATCTGCATGCTTTCGAATTCTCACATAGTTAACATTATAAGGTTTAATAATAATAATAATTTAACAATAACAATAATAATTTTGATTTGTAAGAATCAAAACACATCAATAAAAAGATTTTGTGATAATGACAATGATTATTACAAGTAATCCGTAATTAAATGTAACTGTGGGTACACAGTTGATTGTGAATAAATAAAAATTCAGAACTTAAGTTTTTTGAACGATAGAAAATATAATAGAGATATCGAAATAAATTATAAAAGACGATATTGCATTAAGTATACAGATATAATAATAGCAATTTAAAAAATTCTGCTTAACGGAAGAATTCGAGGGATCAACCACTGATAATCATTGTACATTTTATCAGGAATATATTACAGCAGTACAGTAAATATGATTTTAGAAAATTCATGTTTTAAAAAAATATCTATCAAAATAATATTAGCAATATAAGAGAAAGTTAATGCAATAATTGCATATGTTAATAGATACTAGGTGTCCCTGAAAAAAAATGATGCAGGTTTAGGACATGAAAAATCGAAAATGTTAATAAACATATCTTCGAACGGTTTTGGAGTTATTAGATAAACAAGTTGCTTTCTTCAGATAATATAAATTGAGATAAATGTTGTTTAATGTTTTTGATTTTATTTAAAGCTTTACAAAAGATGCTTAAAAATTTTTCTGTCGATTTCAATACACTTTATAGCACGAATTAATAAATTGTTTCGAGCATTTTGGAAAATATTTAGAGATTTATTTATTTATTTTTTTACGAATGATATCTGCAGCAGTGTTAAAAGTGTATCAAAATCGACGAAAGAATTTTTGAGCATCTTTTGTAATGCTTTAAACAAAATGAAGAACATTAAACAACATTTATCTCAATTTATATTGTCTTAAGAAAGCAACTGTATTATCTAATAACTTCAAAACCGTTCGAATTCGAATATATGTTTATTAACATTTTCGACTTGTTTTCACATTCTAAAGCCGCTGTATCAATTTTGGCACTGAATTCACACTCTGCATATATTAACGTATGCAACAGTTGCATTACATATAAAAGTTACATAAAAAATTCATAAAAATAAAATAACACTGTTTTATATAAATGTGCCATATTTAATTTATAATATTGCCTGTTTGCGAATCTAAAATTGTGAATCTAGATTATTATATAGTTGTAATCAAGTGTATATAATAATAAGAAGTATTATAACATAAAATGATTGCGACAATGTTAGACAGTTTCAACATTAAAATTGTGCATCAATATTTACATGAAGCATGATAAATCATAAGCTTTCGTGATCTTTATCTTACAGCAGTTTAAACCTGATTTAAATGTCTAATTGTAGGATTAACGGGTAATTATGCAGATATACGAAGCCACTTCCGATTTCAATAATTTTCACGTATGTTGTCAAGGTTAACACTCTGAGTAATGTTATAATATACATACATGTAATGTTATAAGATTTTAGCCGGCGCTTATTGTTTTTATTTAAAAGTTATTAACAAAAGAATTTCACAATTTTAATGCTTTTTATTTCCGAAAATATTGATTCGAGAAAAAAAATTTTAAGCAAAAAATAAAACGCTGAAAAACTCTACGAAAAAGGTTATATACATTTTTACCTACTATTTTAGCTGTTATATAAAAAAATAATAATTTTAAATACTTTGTTTATTACTTTATTTTCTGACATTGAAAAGGATCCGAATTGGATCGAAACGCAGCGTTTGTCTTGTTTAAGTTAAATAAACATTTCTTTCGGTTTGTTAAATTGTAACTACCGTTTAATTCTTCGCATATATTTAACCTTTGCGCTGGTCCTTGTAGCCTTTTATCTTTTCTTTCTTTTCTTCTTTTTTTAGTAATTTTAAATACATTTAATAAAATTTAAATTTATATAGAATTTAATACAATTTAATACAACTAAAAATTATTACAAATGTATGTGTACATATAAACAAAAACACATGCGAAGGGAGGCCTTTGGCCCTCCTCCCGCAATCATCCCGTCGGCAAAGTGGACCTCGCTTTATAACTTACAGCATATATCCATTGTGACTCATATATCCATTGTAAACTCTTCGCAATGCGTCCTTAACAGCGGGATGATTGTGGGAGGGGGGGCCCGAAAGCCCCCCTTGCACTCCTCGCGCGCGCGCGTGTGTGTGTACACATACATTTGTGATATTTTTAAATTGTATTAAATGTATTTAAAATAAAGAATAATAATTGTAGGAAGCATAAATGTTTATTGTAATTTATAATTCATTTATATTTTCATTGATAGGATATATAGCAGTCATTACTTGAAAGAAAGCATCTAATCGGTTTATCGATTATGTAAAAGTAAGAAAATTCACTAAAATTTGGTGTGGACCACGTCATATAACCATTCTATGACGTATAATTGTGTTCTATTCATTAAACTCTTTTGGTTAATAATTTATTAATAAACAACGAGCGCAGACTAAAATCATTATAACATTACTCATAGTGTTGACAATATATGTGAAAATTATTCAAATCGGAAGTGGCTTCGTATCTGCATAATTACCGATTAACGAAAGAATTTTAATGTTTTGATATATAATTATATCTTGCGTTTTTAACATAACATAAAACAATTTTATAAAACAACACTCGCACATAAAGCGCTTATGCAAATATAAATTTTTTATTTATGTACTAGATATTGTCTCAAGTATATGAAGTTTTTATATGTCCGCTATTTAAAAAATTAATTCTATATTCAAAAAGATTATGTAACAGGAATCTGTCATTATAGTGTTTGTAGGAGCAACTTTTATATGAGTATTATATTGATTAAAATGTGGATATTTATATTTTAATGTGATATATCTTATATTTTTACCTGTTCAAATAATATATTAACGTATGCAATGATTATATGTATTAAAAGCAATATAAGAAATTCAACTTTTATACTTGTTGTTGGATGGTTTTTTTTATTTAATAACGTATGATTTGTAGCAAAGAGAGGGGAGGGAAGAGAGAGAGGAAGACGAGAAATACAAGGAGAGTACAGGAAATAATCTTGCTCCAATATAAACAAATTTTAAATATTTAAACAATGCTGAAATCATTTTATTAATCAGTAAATAGAATAAAACAATCTCCTATATACAGAATCTTTAATAAATTAATTTAAGTTTTTTAGATACTGATAAGAAAGAAAGAGATGGAAATATAAAATCTTTCATTACAAGTACAAGATTAATTTTTTTATCTGTAATGTTTAATTATAATTAAATATGGGATACATAATACATGTATTGTACATACAGGGTATCTGACAGTGTCAAAATGTCCTACTAAAAATATACAAGAGTAGATTTCGTTAAACTAAATAATCCTACATTATTTTCTAAACAATCATGTAAAATTTCGAGATATTAATTAAAAGAGATAATTAAAAGGTCAATAAGCGCCTAATCAGTGACTATTCTGTGAGATGTAGGATTCTAGGTGTGATAGCGATGAATGTCAAGTTGCAACGAAAAGTTTGGTCGGGCGTACTTCGACTTTTGTCTTTTGTCTTTTGTTATGCGACACTTTGACATCTCCTCATGCACTCTAACCAAGCGGATCGTGCACTCATTGGCTGACCTTCTTTAATTAATATTTTGAAATTTTACGTGGTTATTTGGAAAATGATATAGGACTTCTTACTTGACACTTTATCTCAGATGTACACTGTATATAGAAACAGGATATATGTATATTACGATATATGCTTAAATTCAGATGTTAAGACTTTTCTAGCTTCGTATGTGTATATAAACGAACATATAAAATTCAGACGTTAATAACATTTGCTTCACAAATATTATTCGAAAAATATCGCACTTATGTTTAGCAAAAGTTATAAGTATTAAAATCAAATTCGTTTTAATTCACCTTCTAAGCTAATGTTTTATTTAGATACAATAATCTAGATACAATTATCTAGATACAATTCAACAATTTGTCGTTTATTTATGAATTGAATATAACCAATAATTTCTAAAACCAAAAAATATAGAACTGAACATATAAGTAATCGGGCAAACATTTTTTAATCCGAATAATAATTAAAAGTTAAATATTTAAATTTAAATAATAATTTAAAGTTAAATATTTGAGTTTTTACAAATATTTTAATTAAAAATTCTAATAAAATAACAATTTTTGCATATTAATAATAAAAAAATGCTTAAAGAAAAATTGTTAAATTGAAAATATAATATCGAATCTTAAAAATTTGATACCTGCTTACATTCTTATTGTTTTAATTTTAATTCGAATGCAGATTGTGAAAAAATTCCAATTAAAAATTTAATAACATATTCAGTAACAAAGTATATAAATTTATACATAAATTTCAAAGATATATTACATAGGTTTTAAGGACATCTAATGTAATTTTTAACGACTTTAATTATTCACATCAAAATATTGATGTCCTTTATGAAAATTCCTTCTCCTATCATAAAATAATATTGTTAAACGAACACAAGTCAGACAAACAGGCAAGATTAGACAGATTTCGAGAGTCAATATTTACATTCATACAAATAATCATACATCTTACCGCGACCTTTCCTTCTTTTTTCTTCACACCTTTTATATTCTTCGTACACTCTAGCTCGATATAATCCTTATTTCGCATTTAGTAGTGCACGAACTGTGATATATAACGGACATCATGGCGTGGAACTGGAATTATTTTACATTAGAAAGTATGTGTAAAGCAAAGTGTAGTCTTTGTGATCAATATGAGAGGCCTACCATACATATAGATGAATTTCTATATCATCATATACAGAGTGGATCGGATACTCCTCATAAGATAGCTTTTGAACTGATTAAAAATTTTGACATTTATTCAAAAATAGATTGGGATAATCATTATAGAACAGTACAGTCAATTCGTAACATGTTTAATCCAGAAGTAATATGCAAATGTTGTAAGAATGTAATGCCTGTTCAGGATATGGAGATCAGAAAACAAGAATTCATAAAAGCTTCGCCTGAAATGACATTACATTTAAAAGAGAGGCATGGAGTTGACTATGATAACTGGATGTCACTTAAATCATGGCTAGTAAATCATGCAGGCGATTATTGTAAAGTCCCGAAATTAGGAGTGATATATAAATGTAAGAAATGTGAGATTCCATTCAAAAACGGAATCATGTTCGTAAAGCATTTGTTCGACAAACATCGCTGTGACGGGAAACTTGACAAATTTCCTTGGATTAACATACCAAACGAGTAAGTGAAACAGAGCGAAAATTGAGTATTATTAACTTACTTCTTTTGAATAATTTATATATTTATTTTGAATAATTTATATACTTTTGCATATAATAAGGAAAATGTATACCATAGAAAAAATTTTAAATGTAGATATATGAAATTATACTACATGCTTACGACAAATATTTTACATTTTTGGGTTAAATTATTAATTAAAATATCATACAAATTTTAAATTTATTAATTTAGTACTGTTGTAATCAATAATTTATGACACTATGGATAAATATAAATTGTGAATAAGTATAAAAATTTTTTAAATAACCCGGCAAACATTTTTGTATTTAGATGTGAAATTTTTAAGAATAATCGAATATTTCGGTTTTTTTGATGACATTTTGATAATAAAGTATTGGATTGAAAAATAATAATTTGATGTCTTGATGATATATATTGCGCACATAATTGAAACTAGATTATATACTATAATTAATCCAATAATTTTTATTTTATTTTTGTTGTACAGATTACGTTCTTTATATTCTACTGTCAGAGAGGATACTACATTAAGCAGCGATATTGCTGATCGTTCAGGTTCCAGCAGTCAAGGTAGGTCAGGGGTTTCCTCGGAGTCAACTCAGTTTTCAAGGAAACGCAAAGAAGAAGTCTTGAAGAAAATGTCAGAGACGTTAGAAGAAGTCGTGAAGAAGATGTCAGAGATGTTAGTTAATAATATCGCTATATATATTAGTTATTAGAATTTAACTTTTAATTTTGATTTTTATTATATTATTGACTTTGCTTTCATAACTTTGATGATTCGTAAAACGTTGAAAAAAATAAGTGAGAAAATTGCGTCTATAATAAGATATTATTTATATTAATTTTTTGTTGTACCAATGCAGGCCCGAGATTAGCACTCAGATAGAGGAACCTTTATATAAACGCAGAAAATACAGTTCCACGGACAATTCAGACTGAGGAAAAATGATTAGTGATACTGCTGCAACAAGCAACATTAATTCAACTGTCAATTTCGACCTCTAGTTCAGAATCGTGTAACCAATATTTAAATGAAGACACAGGCAAAGAATTTCTTATCGATATGATTGCAGATCATTTTAATGAAAACACCGAAACAGTTCTTATTATAATTCAAACACACAAATCTTGAAAGAGATGTTAGACTATGTCCGTTAATAATATCGCTATATGTACATTATTGACTTTATTTTCATAAATTTGACGATTCGTAAAACGTTACCTGAAAAAATAAGCGAGAGAATTGCGTCTATAATAAGATAAAACAGTTATATTGATTTTTTTGTTGTAACATTAATGCAAGCCTGCGGTTAACACTTTTTGGCCGATTCTAGTTATTGCCATTTGTACTTCTTTTGTTTCACAACATCTAGATTGTTCGCGGAACGTAAGATGTTCAGATGTTTAAAATGATATTAATTATAAATCAGACAGAATTTTATTGCTGCATACATTGTTTGAAAAGTTAGTATTGTTATGATTATTATTATTATGTTATAATGTCAAAAGTAACACTGAAATGAAACGAATTTTAATCGTATCTATACATACAATTAATATGCGTTTTAATAATCTAATTTTATGATAACAATCTTGTAACAATTATAAGTAGAATAGTAATTATAATAACTTTAGAAAGAATAAAAAGTGCAAGGGAAATATGCAGAACGATTTAAAACTATAATCATTTATGAACTCGAGCATCTTACTATTCCGAGAGAAGTTTAGAGAAAACTATAAAACAAAAGGCGTAAGAATAGCAGAAAAAATTGGCTAAAAATGCAAACTAACCTGCATTGATGTAACACAAATTTATAGTAGAATCAATTGTTTTGCGAATTATAACTTCTTGTTTTAATCCAGTCTCCACTTGTCAAACATCGACAAAGAATTAAAGTAACATTATTTATTGTATGACATGTTCTATTATTAATTTTGTAAAAATAATTTTGTATTGTAACGTATTGTAAGGAAAAATATTTAAACCGTTATTAGGTTTTCAAAACGTTACCTAAAAAAGTAAGTGAAAGAAGTAATATGTTTATGATGAGTAATTGCTGTATTAATTTTTGTTGTAACACGTGTGCGAAACGCTCAGGACTGTAAAAATTATAAATTACATACTTCAATGGCTTGATACATTTACAGAGTTTATAGAGTTATTATTGTTATGATTATTATTATTATTATTATAAAGTCAAAAGTAACACTAAAATGAAACACAATTGTTAATCGCATATATACGTACAATAAACATATTCTTCATTTTATTTGTAGTGTTCTAATTTTATAATAATTAATATTATAATTATAAATATAACATTAATTATAATAAAATTAGAACAGTATGTAATGTAATAACTTTACGAAGAGTGAAAAGTGCAAAGCAAATGTCCCGGACAATTTATAATCATTAATAACTATAATCCTTCCTGAACTCGTGCGTCTTATGTTTCTTCGAGAAGTCTAGAGAAATTATGAAACAAAAGATGTGGAGATAATAGTAGACAGAATCGACAAATTTACAATTATATCTATTTTTTTAAGAAATGTAACTTCTTCTTTTAATCGTTTCCACATCAAACATTGACAAAGAATTAAAGTAACATTACATATTGTATGACATGTTTTATTATTAATTTTGTAATAATAATTTTTTGTATTGTAATGTATTGTAAGGAAAAATATTTAAACAGATATCAGGTTTTCAAAACGTTACGTAAAAAAGTAAGTGAGGAAAGTGATGCGTTTATGATCAGTAATTACTGTATTAATTTTTGTTGTAACACGTGTGCGAAACATAAGATGCTCAGAACGGTGCGAAACATAAGATGTTTAAAAATTATATATTACATAGTTTAATTGCTTTATACATTTACAGAGTTTATAGAGTTATTATTGTTATGATTGTTATTATTATGATTATAAAGTCAAAAGTAACACTAAAATGAAACACAATTGTTAATCGCATATATACGTACAATTAATATATTTTTCATTTTGTTTCTAGTGTTCTAATTTTATAATAATTAATATTATAATTATAAATATAATAACTTTAGGAATCGTGAGAAGTGCAAGGGAAATATGTCCCGGACGATTTATAACCATTGATAACTATAATCATTCTTCAACTCGAGTGTCTTACGTTTCTTCGAGAAGTCTAGAGAAATTATGAAAGAAATGATATGGAGATAGAGTAGTAGACAAAATCGACAGAAAAGTGCAAACTAGCAGTAACATTAATGTAACACAAATTTACAATGATATCCATTATTTCACGAAATGTAACTTCTTCTTTTAATCATCTCCACATCAAACATTGACAAAGAATTAAAATAACATGACATATTATATGACATGATCTATTATTGATTTTGCAAGAATAATTTTTCAAACGTATTGTGTAGACAAATATTTAAACCGATATTAGAATTTCATAATCAATTTATTGACGCTTTTATTGAAAAGAATGTAAAATTGATGTAATTTTATAAATAAAATAGCATTTTTACATAACTATAATATTGCATCTATTTAATTTATAATTATTCCAATCCACTTAAAAAAGCTTGTTACAATATTCGATTAATTTATATTCATTTATCCGATGATTTACATTTTATCGGAATTAATTTTTACTAATTCACAAAAATATCCTGCAGGGATCGAAAAGCTGTTTCTACTAATATTTATTCTAACATACATTTGTAATTATGTAATTACGTATATCCTTTTGCAATTATTAATAGGTGAGATTATGAGCTGTGGATTAGCAAACTGTAAAAGAAGCAACTGTAAAAGTTAAAAAATGTTTTAAACATATATAATTATAATTATATATAATTATATATTGATATTTATATTTATACATAAAAATTAAACATTTTTATATAATTTATTCTTTTTTGATATCATTTTTCATATTCTTTAGTACTTTTTGATTTGAATAAATTTCTTTTTTCATATATATATATATATATATATATATATATATATATATATATTAATACATGATCTATGGTGCAAAGCAGATACGATGTTAACGCAAGGAAGATATATTAAATGTATAATTGGATGTAGAAAAAATTTCAAGGAAAATGATAATACAAAATGGAGTATTTATGGAGTACTTCGTCTCTTTAAAAAAGAAATAAATTTATAATTATACTATAAGTTTATAGTATAGATTAAATATATATTATCAGAATAATGACTCACAATGTTGAAAGTGGCAATATTTAATACAAAATGACATAAGTCACTTCAATAAAATAAACATTAAAAATGAATGATAATGGGTTTTACGATTGTTATGAAAATGCATTTAACCAATAAAGTTTATCATGTTATAATAAAAGATTTTCGCTCAATACATAGATATTTCAACATTTTAATGAGTCAATTAACAAGTCGAAATTTGGAGACATTTTAAGTAATTCTTAAATTTATTAAAATATTTATTCGATCTTTATCATATCAAAATATTCTCAATAATTAAAGCTATAAGATCAAATGTACAAAATAAAAGAAACGATTGTAAATTTTATCGATATTCCTGAATTATCTTCTCTGAATCGTCCTTAAATGTATATTCGTTTACAAATAAAGCAAAATTTAAAATGTTTGATATTTCTCCCAATTATAAATATTCTAAATATAAATATTCTAATTAGATATGTAATATATTCATATTTGATACTTATAGGTATTTATAAAACAGTTTGATTCACAGCAAATAGTATATTCAGATTTGATAATTTAAATTTATTATTATAATTTATAATTCAAATTACCATTTTTTGAAAACACATAAATTTAAAAAATTTGACGCAATTCTTTTTTGGAAAAAAATCATTCTTTTTTGGAAAAAAATTAATCTTTCGATATTGTTGATATCTGCATACTTTCCAATTTTCACATAGTTAACATTGTAAGATTTAATAATAATAATAATTTAAAAATAACAATAATAATTTTGATTTATAAGAATCAAAACACATTAATAAAAGATTTTGTGATAATCCTGATTATTATAAATTGTTCGTAGTTAAATGTAACTGTGGGTAAACAGTGGATTGCATAAATAAAAATTCAGAACTAAGTTTTTTGAACAATAAAAAATATAATAGAGATATCAGAATAAATTACAAAAGACGGTACTGCATTAAGTATACACATATAATAATAGCAATTTAATCCTCATTTAAAAAATTCTGCTTAACGGAAGAATTCGAGGAATCAACCACTAGCAATTATTGTATATTTTATCAGGAATATATTGCGTTATATTTACAGTAAATATAATTTTAGGAAATTCATGTTTTAGAAAAATATGAATTGAAATTGTACTGTAGCAATATAAGACAAAAAGTAATATGCATTAGAAGTACTTTTTACTTCGGCTATAGTGGAAATATTGACAATAAAATAATAACAGGAATACCAAAAATTCAAAAGCATTATTAACAATACAGAAGCAATACAATAATAATACTAACAATAAAATGTATTGAATTGTCGAAAATGACAATTACTATACATTTTCTGAGTGGTGGTTGACTCCTCGAAAGAATTTTAACATTTGATGTACATACAATGATATATCTTGCTTGTTTTTTAATGTAACAAATAACATAAAACAATCTTATAAAATAAAAATAAAAATTATTTTGTAAATATATAATTTTTTAATTCTGTACTAGATATTATTTCAAGCATATGAAATTTTTATACATGTATTTTTTCATATATTTTATATATGTTATATATCCGCCATTTAATGCTATTTATATATCTAAAAAGACGTAATGAATTTATTACTATAGATTGTGTAGGAGCAAATTTTTGCATGTGTGTTATATTGAGACAAAAATGTGTAAATTTATATATTAAATAAAGAATATTAAACAACAATTATTTCAATATATATTGCTTTAAGAAAGCAACTTTATTACCTTATTAACTTCAAAACCGTTGGAATTCGAGTATATGTTTATTAACATTTTCGACTTGCTTTTATGTCCTGAAGCCGTTGTATCAATTTTGGCACTGAATTGACACCCCGAAATGAAGTGACACCCTGCATATATTAACGTATGCAATGATT